TCAAATCCCAGCAACCACATGGTGGCTCACAACCATCTGTAATGAGATCTGATGTCCTCTTCTGGTGTGTCTGAAGACAGCTACAGTGTATTCATATATAATAAATAAATATTTTAAAAATAGATTTTATTTATTATTTTTTATTTTTTAGATACATAAGTATCTAAAAAATTTGCCTGTGAGTATGTATGTCCACATGTGTGTCTGGCAGCCACAGAGGCCAGACGAGGGTGCCGGATCCCCTGAAGGTGAAATTTCAGATGAGCTATAAGCTGCCACACATACATTCTATAAGCTGCCATGCAGGTGCCAGGAATGAAGTTCAGGTCCTGTGCAAGAGTAATAAGTGCTTCTAACAACTAAGCCATTTAGTGTTGGCAGAGCTCCTGGATCCTAGGACCAATTTGCATTCATTTAAAAAAAAGATTTGGGCCGGGCAGTGGTGGTGCATGCCTTTAATCCCAGCAGTTGGGAGGCAGAGGCAGGTGGATTTCTGAGTTCGAGGCCAGCCTGGTCTACAGAGTGAGTTCCAGGACAGCCAGGGCTACACAGAGAAACCCTGTCTTGAAAAACAACAACAAAAAAGATTTATTTATTTTGTATACGTGAGTACACTGTAGCTATCTTCAGACACACCAGAAGAGGGCAACAGATCCCATTACAGATGCTTGTGAGCCATCATGTGGTTGCTGGGAATTAAACTCAGGACATCTGGAAGAGCAGTTGGTGCTTCATATGTTCAGAAAAGCATCTAAAAGACGCTGGTGCACCTAAAGAAAGAGGGAAAAAGGCAGCACAGCTGTAACATTCTTGAGAGTATTATGGTCTAGAAAGACGTGCATGATACCCAACAATGTTGTTGAAAACATTGTACAAAAGTCTGTGCCTATAAATGTAAGGAGTTTCCAGTATTCTTGGGGATCCTCTGGCTATCAGAGGGGTTTTATACCCCGCCTAGCCTAGTCGTTCATTCTCTGTGTAACTTGATAAAGAGTGTACTGTGTGAAATTGAGGCAAAAAGGGGCTTCTCTTTCTTTTAGAACAGGCTAAACAGCTGTGTGCCCTAGCAGCCCAATGTTCTCCTTACGTCAGAGATCATCCGAGGCTCAGAAGGCTATCGCTGGTGATCACGGCAGAAATAACTTGAGCAAATGATTTCAGTTTCAGGCATGGATGGGGCTGACACTAGAGCAGCCATTTCTGCCTATGAAGGAAGTATTACTGAGGTGGACCCCATAGGGTGTCCCACCTCAGTACCATAGAAATAGCTTATGAAGGTTTGCAGTCATGGGTTGGAATGAAGGCCTTCTGACAGAGCCTCTTTATGGGGTGGCACAGGATCAACCCCTACAAGGGTGGCATGTGTAGCCACTGCAATAATGCAAGCTATCTGTGAGCCCGCTCACCAATGCCATACAGGTTGTTTGTTCTGAATTTTCAGATGCCTTCTGATTTAAGCCTTGTCACAGTCCTCTGTGACGAGTGCCTGAGTATGTTTACAGTGAAAGATGAGCAAACTCCTGTGTGTGTGTGTGTGTGTGTGTGTGTGTGTGTGTGGTTTTTGGAGGTAGAGTCTCTTTACATAGACCTGGCTATCCTGGAATTCACTATATAGATCTGACTGGCTTCAAACTCACAAAGATCTACCTGCCTTTGCCTCCCAGCACTAGTCAACTCCTAGGATTAAAGGCGTGAGCCACCAAACTAGGTTGACATCAGTATTTGTACACAGATCTTGAAAAGCACCAGAAATATTTTGTGACTCACATAAAGCGGAACTTGGCCTCCAAGCCTACCTTGTTCTGCCGTTCTGACAGCCTTCTCAGAAGCCTGAGGATCTTTAACAGACAATTTTTTTTTTAAAAGATTCATAATGGCTATTCCTGGTTATCAACTTGACTGTATCTGGAATGAACTACAATCCAGAATTGCAGGACTCACCTGTGATCCAGATCTTGAGGCTGGAAGACACACGTTTCTGACCTGGATCTTGGCATGGAGATCTTGAGGCACAGTGCCATGAAAAGCTTAGGCCCAGGCAAGGTAGTACACGCCTTTAATCCCTGGAGACTGAGGCAAGGAGATGTCTGAGTTCAAGTCTCAGATCCAGGTATGTTGGTACACCCCTTTAATCTGGGCCACACTGTCTTCTGGAGACCTACATAAGGGCATTGGAAGAAGGAAGATTCCCTCTTCTTCGCCTTTCTTCGTCTGCTTGCACTTACTTGCCAGCACGTCTGTTAGAACCTACTTCTGTGAAAGACCAGCTCAAACAACTAGCCTCGTGGGACTGAGCAGTTGTTGAAATCTATTTAATTTTCTTTGTATCTTGTGTGTTTTCAGAGGAAAATAGCGATGTACTGTGTACCTTTGATGACATCTGTCCTCAACGCAAACACTGAAAAGGTATTTCTTAGATGAATTCCTAATATCTATAGAAGGATACCATAATTAACAACTATGCACTGGTTACTTTCTCATTGCTGTGATGAGACACCATGACCAAGGGAACTTACAGAGCGGAGGGTTGATTTTGGCTTATGTCTCCAGAGAGATACTAAGAGTCCATCAGGGCAAGGAGGAAAGGCTGCAAGTAGCAGGCCAGAGGGCAGCAGATCTCCTGAAACTGGAGTTACAGGTTTTTTTGTTTGTTTGTTTGAAACAGGGTTTCTCTGTGTAGCCCTGGCTGTCCTGGAACTCACTCTGTAGACCAGGCTGGCCTCGAACTCAGAAATCCACCTGCCTCTGCCTCCCAAGTGCTGGGATTAAAGGCGTGCACCACCACTGCCCAGCGAGTTACAGGTTTTATGAGTTGTCTGATGTGAGTGCCGAGAACCTGGTTAGGTCCTCTGCAAAAGCAGCAAGTGCCCTTCCACCTTGTTTTGGGAATAGGGTCTTTCATTGAACCTGGGGCTTTTCAATTTTGCTAGACTGGCTGGACAATGAGTCCCAGGCATCTGCTTGTCTCTGCCCCTCACTGCTGGGATTGCAGATCAGTACTGCAGAGCCAGGCTTTGAGTGAGTGCTGAAGACCTAAACTCGGGTCCTCATGTGAGCCTGGCAGACACTTCAGCAACTGAGCCATCTTCCTAGCCCTTCCCTTGGAGTTTTTATTAGCATTGTATTAAGTACACATAGTAAAGAATATTTTCAGTATGTATATAAGTATAGCTTGATTATCCCATTATCCTTTCTTTCGCCCTTCCCCACCCCACTTTGCTCTTCATCCCTGATAATCCTCATTTTCCTTTCAGCTTTAGATTCTACATATGAGTTACAGACAGTTATGAGCTGCCATGTTGGTGCTGGGAATTGAACCTGGGTCCTCTGGAAGTAGTAAAGACTTCTTTACTGCTGAGCCCAGTGCCTGAATTTTGTTTTTTGCTTTTGAGATCCGGTTTCTTGCGGGGCGGTGGTGGCACACGCCTTTAATCCCAGCACTTGGGAGGCAGAGGCAGGCAGATTTCTGAGTTTGAGGCCAGCCTGGTCTACAGAGTGAGCTCCAGGACAGCCAGGGCTATACAGAGAAACCCTGTCTCGGAAAAAAAAAAAAAGAGAGATCCGGTTTCTCTATGTAACCCTGGGTGTCCTGGAACTTGCTCTGTAGACCAAGCTGTCCTGGAACTAAGGGATTCACTTGCCTTTTCTAACCAAGTACTGGGATTAAAGGTGTATGCTGCCATGCCCTGTTATATGCAGAATTCTTTTTGTCATCTACTGGTAGACACTTAGGCTAATTCTATAATTTATTGTGCATCCGTTAACATGTAAATACAGGTATGTCTATAGTAAACTGACTTTGACTCTTGGATTGTATAGTAGTTCTAATTTTAATTTTGAGAGGAGTCTTTATTATGATTTCTGTAATGAATAAATTAATAATTTAGATTCTCGATCAACAGAATATCACTTCTCCCTAGCGTGACTGCTATTATAAATTGCTTGTGTGGCTCACGTTTTTATAAGGCTAAGAAGTCTCTAAAGGTTAGAAAAAAATGCACGCAGAGGGGCGGTTATTGTTCCTTTGACTGTTGTCGGTTTTTTGTTTTTGTTTTTGTTTTTTTTGGTTTTCGAGACAGGGTTTCTTTGTATAGCCCTGGCTGTCCTGGAACTCACTCTGTAGACCAGGCTGGCCTCGAACTCAGAAATCTGCCTGCCTCTGCCTCCCAAGTGCTGGGATTAAAGGCGTGCGCCACCAACGCCCGGCTGACTGTTGTCGTTTTGATATACGGTCTCGTTATGTAGTACAGGTTGGTCTTGAGTTCAAGATCTTCAAGCCTTGAAGTATTCCTTTATGATCCTGGAAAAGGCAAGGGAGGAACGGGCAGGCTACAAGTTAATCGCATTCAACAAAAAGTAAGTGTCTTAGGTGGCTTGCTCCAAGATACCCTCCGTACTCAAGGAATTATATACACTTAAAGTCTCCTGGACCTAGTCCAACTATCTATCTTTGGTCTGTCAAAGGGATGAAGAGCCCTGGGTTCTGGGCTTGAGGTTGGACAGGGATCCCACCAAGGTACAGAGCTCTGAGTGTCTGGGAGCATCATTAACCGGGTTACAGACACTCCTAACAACAACAAAGCCTCGCCAGTGTTTCCCCTCGTAAGGCAGCCAACTTTACGAAAGGATTAAGTATCAGACTGGAGCTATTTCGTCAAAGCAATAGTCTCCTGAGAAATCTTCAAGAATATCGTAGATAGTTAAAAAACGGTTAAGGAGCAACCAGATTGCAGGACTTTTCCGAGCTACTGGAGACACACTGACCCGCTGGGCTCTATCATCTTTTCAGCAATTTTAGATCTTTGATAGATACTTACATCGGCAGTTTCCGGAATTGTTCGGCATAGACTCGAGAACGTCGCCCCCTGGCGGCGGGATTCGGAAGGGGCGGGGGAGGAGGGAGTTGTCTGAGCTAGCGCGCGCAGACGCAGTTGAGTACCGGCGGCGGTTCAGACCGGAAGTGGTTACACCTGAGATCACTTCCGGCGGGTGACGGTGCGGACGGGTCAGGAGCGTAGAGGCGGCGGCAAAATGGCGGCGCCTGAGGAGCAGGATCTAACTCAGGAGCAGACCGAGAAGCTGCTGCAGTTTCAGGTAGCAGCGAGTTCTCGGTGCAGCAGAGGCCGCCGCGGGATGGGGAATGGGACCCTAGAGGAGCTCAAAATCATCCTCAGGTTGGGGTTGGGACCATTTTCAGACCCGCAGGCGGCCCCCTCCCCCCAGACACCAACTGCCCGGATTTCCCCGGCGCCCAACCTCTGTCGGTACTCAGCTTTCCAGGCACCTCTGCCAGCCATGCTCGACCACAGCGGGTCTGCTGCCTTAATTTCCCTTAGCGGCTCCGGTCGGCAATCCTTACCAGCCTGATGAACCCGCCAGCCCCTCTCCGCCCATCGACTGTTGATGTGCTGGAGATACTAAAATCCCTATGGCAGAGTTGCCGTCGGCTCGCGGGTCTTGGACCGCCGACCACCATCCCGTGCTATTCACAGACCTTTGCTGAGGGTCTCTTGGTTACTAGGTCTCGTGTTGGGGGTTGTAGTGGGGGAAAAGCAAGCGCCCGCACACAGACCTGGCACCTGCCCTAGAAAAGTGGGAGGACGCCACAGGGGAAACAATGCAACATAAGTATCATCGAAGGCTTCTTACTGGATTTGTTACCTTCGGCTTTCTCCTGAACTGTTGACTGTGCTTGAGGAGGGTGGCAACTTGCAGGGCTCGGCCTATTAGTGGATGTTATGTTTCTGGTTTTTGTTTGTTTGTTTTTAAAACAAAAAAATGGAGGGTCTGGTTGGAGGATGCCACCGGGGTGGTAAACCATGGCATTAGCCATTTCCTTAGTTCTTAAATTGTATAACTTAAAAATGTGTATTCCCTTGAGGATGTTTTGGAGGTAAACTGAGTTTATGGATGTTACACGCTATTAAAAGGACGTTGCAGGCCGGGCAGTGGTGGCACACGCCTTTAATCCCAGCACTTGGGAGGCAGAGGCAGGCGGATTTCTGAGTTCGAGGCCAGCCTGGTCTACAGAGTGAGTTCCAGGACAGCCCGGGCTACACAGAGAAACCCTGTCTCCAAAAACCAAAAAAAACAAGACGTTGTAAACAGTAAAATGCGCCTAAACAGTTGCGGCTATATTAATAATCACTTCCCAGTTAAATTGAAGTTAATAGAACTCGTTTCCTAATAGGAAATGTGCTAAATATTGATTTTTTTCCAGCAGTTTTTATGAAAAGTCTTAGTACCAGACACTGTTAGGTAGAATGCCGCCCTCTAAATATTTATGATGGCGTGAGGACTTGACTGACACTTAGCATGTAGCTTTTTGAACGCACAGCCCTACCTTTAGCGTTCATACTGGGACAGGCCCTGTCATAGATGGGTATGAATTGTAAGAAGTAGCATCAGTGGGTGTGGCCTGAGACTATAATCTCAGGGCACTCAGGAGGATTCTGAGTTTGAGACCAGCCATTTCCAAACAAGAAGAAAAGAGCTTGCTTAGGTTACACAGCTAGTAAATTGGTGGTGTCCGTTTAAAGCAGAGCCTTCCCTGGGCTTCTGGTGTCCTGCTGTAAGAATCAGGTGTTACTGCTGAGATGTTAGTTTGTGTGTGCCTGTGTGTTTAATTAACGTGTTGGATGTGTGTACATGGTAAAATACTATTCTAAGCATAGTTATTTGAGTGGCGTTTATAATAGAGAAATTGATGACACCAAATTAGCATTAAAGAATGAATAAACAGACAGCTCTTACTGCTTCGTAGAGTGTTACTGTCAGGGTTTTTTTTTTAACTTGGGCAGACTACACTTAGCAGCTCTTAGTGGTCAGGCACGTGCGAGTGAGAAGTGAGCGGTGAGGTGTGCTCCCTCAGTTCAGGAGTGTGAGGTCCGGCAGTGTTTGGGAGAAAGTGCTGAGTGAGCGCCTTGTTTTCCACGGACATCAGGAGAAGAGTGGCCAGCAGGGTAGTAACACTGTAGTGACATTAATTAGGTTTGTGTCAAGATTTATGAAATTGAATAAATTGAGAAAATGCATTTTGTGTTTTTATGTTCTGTAAACAAGCCTGGGGCAGATCAGTGTCTCAGATTATTGTTAAACATTGGTTGACTTGTACAAATATCAAGCATTATAACCTTAAACTTCTTTAGAAGACTATAAAGAGTTAACTGCCATTCTTTTACACTGAAGAAAACAGGTATGAGAAGTCAGGTAATTCACATAGATAGTACCTTACACAGATTAACAAAACCACATTCTTGTTTGTATCCCAGTGCTGAACGTGAATAATGGGAGTGCCAGAAAGCTCTCTGATGTGTGTGTGTGTGTGTGTGTGTGTCTGTGTCTGTGTCTGTGTCTGTGTGTGTGTGTCTCTTTGTCTATCTGTCCATCTGTTTGTCTGTGTTTTTGTCTTTGCTATTGGAGTTTAGGGAAGAGAAAACTTCTTGATGTTGACAAGAGAGGAAAGATGACTTAGAAGTTGCTATTTGTTACTGACTATGCCTTAAGTACAATGCTAGATGATTTATACCCATTATGCTTAATCCACACAGTTACCTTATAAAGTACAAATGGTGATATGTCTGCTATGGTGTCTGGTGAAGAGACAGATTGGTAGGTTTATTTGCTAAGGTACTGGAGCTATAAGTGGAATTCTGGTGGGTCTAGCTGTGGCCTGGAAGGCTGAGCTCTTAGCACAATGCCTTGCAGCTTTGAAGGAGGAATAGAATTTCAGCAGATGGTGGGCAGGAGAATACTCAAAGCTGCTGAGAAAATGAATTGCTCACATATGGAGATGGGAAAGAGTGTGGCTATGTCTGTCGTAATAAATAGAGACTTGGGAGTTAGAAGGGTAAACGAGCCAGATTCCAGAGACCTGTCAGTACTGTGCTGACTTGTGTAGTAGGCACAGTCAGGAGAGGGTTAGCTTGGGAGTAACAACACCAGGTATTGAGCTTTGCTTCTCTAGCAGTATGGGGTATGTGCTTAGAATCTGTATGGGTATCAGAATAGATGGGGGTTTCCCGGTTAGTTCTCAGTCTGTGTCCACATTTTATGTATTACAGTTGAGCTAGGCATGGTGGTTCACACCTGTAATCCCAGTGCCAGCACTTGAGAAGTTCAATTCAGAGGATTGCTGTAGGTTCAAGGACAGCCTGGGCTACATAGTCAGTTTCAGGTTATCCTACAGGGTGAGACCCTGTCTGAAAAAGCTTAAATAAATGAATTTGTAAAAGTAAGATGTTTTAGGAAATCTGAGTTTTTTTTTTAATGTGACATATTTTGGGTTAGAATTCTCCAAGGCATATTTACCATGTTCCTCAGTCCATTTGATGTTTCTAAGCTGCTTTTGTATGTCTGTGTAACTTGCATGGCTCTGGCTTGCTTTGGGACCAGCTGAGTGGAATAATGTAGTCATTATGTTTTGAGCTATTTCTACTGGAAAATAATAGGCATATAGATTTAAGGAAGAGCTAATAGAAGTATGTGGAAGATTACTTTTATTGGAGTCAGTGTCCCCAAATTTCCAAATATGTAGATTTCTCCAGTGCTTTGGTTCACTGCCTCTGGGCTGGTGGTTTAACACCACGGCAGGACTGGTGTGGTCAGAGAGAAAGGAGTAGATGCCCCATGTTCCACGGGAGGGCTGATCCCTTTCTGCTTACACAGAAATATGATGTTCTCTTCTCTGCATGCTTAATTAGAAATGTATTGTACTTTATTTACTTAGATTGTGAGGGTATGGGGCACACACGGCGTGACATGTCAGAGTCAAAGACAGCTTGTGAGAGGAGGTCTGATCCTTCTGAGCATTGAGCTCAGGTCATCAGGCTTGTCAGAAAGTGCCTTCACCCACTGAGCCATCTTGTCATTCCTGTTTGTTCATGAGGCAGGGTTTCACTGGGTAGCCCATGTAGCCCAGGCTCACCCCAGCTAGCACTCCAGGATGTTGGGAAAAAAAGTTTCTGTGTCAAGTAGGGCAGGACTCCCATTCCTTTTATTTAAGAGGAAGCCTGGACTCCGAGCTGCAGACACAAATGTATGTCCTTTGGGAGTCGGGGTTGTGAGGACATGATAATTCTCATTCGTCCATTAAAAATATCTTAGTGTTCTGTTTGATTTCTGATTTCTCTTCAACTCATCCTGGCTAAGAAAGCTACTAGTGAGTTTTACAGTCTTGGGTGAGTTCTTATATTGAGTGTGCGTGTGTAATGAGAACAGTGTATTGTCTGATTGGCAGTATCTATTTTTTTAAATTGTCCTTTAAAAAAATAAAAACACAGAAAAATCCTATAGCTTGGGCATTGGTGATACACACTTTAATCACAGCTATTAGGAGGCAGAGATAGGTGGATCTCTGAGTTCAAGGCCATCCTGCTCTATTGAATGAGTTCCAGGACAGCCAGGGCTACACAGAAAGATGTTTGTTTCATTTTGTTTTGTTTTGTTTTTTTGGTTTTTCAAGACAGGGTTTCTCTGTATAGCCCTGGCTATCCTGGAACTCACTCTGTAGACCAGGCTGGCCTCGAAATCAGAAATCCGCCTGCCTCTCTGCCTCCCAAGTGCTGGGATTAAAGGCATGCGCCACCACTGCCTGGCTGGTTTTTTTTTTTTTTTAATAAAGATTTATTTATTTTATGTATGTGAGTACACTGTAGCTGTCTTCAGACACACCAGAAGAGGGCATCAGATCTCATTACAGATGGTTGTAAGCCACCATGGGAATTGAACTCAGAACCTCTGGAAGTGCAGTCCGTGTTCTTAACCACTGAGCTATCTCTCCAGCCCCATCCTTAGTGTTTTTAACCCACATCCACCCCACCCTCATCTTCCCATTTTCTTCATTTTGGGACAGGTGTCACAATATAGTCCTGACTACCTTTGAACTCAAAATTCTGCCTCCAGCTGCAGTGAGCTGGGATTATAGGCATGCCCATTACACCTGACTTGTTGATTGCTTTTGTTGGTTTGCTTTTGTTTTTGAGGCAGGTCTTACAATGTAGTCCTCTCTGGCACCAAGCTTGCCTTGAGTTTATAGATGCCTGCCTGCCTGCCTGCCTCTCAAGCTTTCCTTACTGTTACTTAAAAACAAAACA